TAGAAATTAATAACTAGATAAAATTCAAAGAGAAGCCATCTGCTCAGGCAGGACAGGGGTGAGGCAGGTTTCTGGGGGACATGAGGACAGCCAAGTTGGTGACACAATGAGGATGCAGGCTCTGGTGTGGACAGGCTGGGTCATTACCCATGGTAGCCGGAAATGCCCGGGAGAATGTAAGGCCAAGTGTGTGTTCAGGTCAAGTGACAATCTAAGAACAAGAAGTGGAAGACAGAGGTCAGGAGAGAGCAGAACAACTGCAGGGCCAGCCATACAGGACAACAAAAGAAAGAGCCACCATGTCCTTATGGGCAAGTGGGGGGCTTGAACTTTGTTCTGGCTTACCTGATTTCTGGCTGTCTGGTGTGTGAAAGGGCTGCCCGCTGGTGATGGTTTACGATCTCTCCCAACTGGACAGCATAAACAAAACCTACCTGTGCGACTATCTGCTATAAGCAGCCTTATGGCCCAGGCTCCACAGAGGCTCATATTTAGGAAAAAGATCAACTGGACACCTAAAGTCTTGAATTGAAATACAGATCTCTAATGTAGGCTTGGGTGATGCAGGAATTCCACATCTTAAACGACACAGCAAGATTTCCCAGGATCCTATTTTGACATCTCTTTTCTGTTAGAGGGAACCCACTTCACACACTCAGGTACCACTCAGCAATACGGGTGATGCCTCCTCCTCCCCGGAGGGCAGAGGCTGATGCAGGTGCATCTCCTCTTCATCCCCTGGCTGGGTGATTCTGAGAAACACTCTTTTCCTTCCAAAGGGATGGAGAGTGGCTGCTGCCTGCAGTGGTGACCAGCTCAGGGATTCCTCTGCCATCTGACTCCCCTCCCACCCTGCTGGCCACCCACTGGCCCCTTACCCCTTTTTCCTGGGATTATTTTCCAAATAAATGTCCTGACTGAGCTCTCCAGCCCTGGTTTTGGGAAGGGAGACACAGGCCAAACGTCACATTCTTTCTGGGTATTTTAGCACCTCTGGTTTACTGAGGTGTGACAAATCTTATCCAATTTATCCAATTAAGGTTTGCGAAATTGTGAACTTGACTGAGGGAAACTATTCCAGCAAAGGATGGGCATAAGAACACCAGATAATAGGTAGTAAAAGCTGCTATTTTGGCTTCCATGGGGTATTGAGGAAAGAAGACGGGTCTTAGAAGGGTCTGCTGACAAGCGCAGTGCTGCGCTGTGCCCATGGTGACCACCGTTCCTCTTCTGTGTGCCCACGGCTGTCAGTGCCCCGGACACGCCTTCCATGCTCAATGCCAGTATGCCCACTTTCTAGATGGAGAAACTGGCATTTCAAGAAAATGAGGAGTGGCCGGGCACGGTGGCTCAAGCCTATAGTCCCAGCACTTTGGGAGGCCGAGACGGGCGCATCACGAGGTCAGGAGATCGAGACCATCCTGACTAACACGGTGAAACCCTGTCTCTACTGAAAAATACAAAAAAAAACTAGCTGGGCGAGGTGGCGCCTGTAGTCCCAGCTACTCCGGAGGCTGAGGCAGGAGAATGGCATAAATTCAGGAGGCGGAGCTTGCAGTGAGCTGAGATCCGGCCACTGCACTCCAGCCTGAGCGACAGAGCCAGACTCCGTCTCAAAAAAAAAAAAAAAAAGAAGAAGAAGAAGATGAGGAGCTTGTTGAATGTAAGCAAGTAAAGGTCGGATGTGAGGGAGTGGAGTTAAACTCACCCGGCCTGCCTCTGAGGCTGGCATCCTCTCCACCATATCATGCTGCACTGCCCACCCTCTTAGATAGGCCTGGGTGGCTCTTCAGGAGCCCACATTTTCATACTCTCAGAAGAGAAACTAAAGCTGTCCAAGGACTAAGCATAATACTCAAGACATTTTTGGCGTGAGCCATTGAGCAACAGAGCCCACAGGAGCTAGGGGCAGCCAGATGGAATCAGCCACTGAGATCTGGGGCATCTGATCCAGACACGACAGTGTCTGCTGCACTCAGCCTCTGCCCCCTTGAAACAAGAAGAAGATCCCCAGCTGAGGGAGAGACATCAGTCATGGTCTTAGGTTCTGAGGGTCTTCACACCAGCATCGGCTTTGTGCCAAGGATCTAGACTTTGCCATTTCTCTCAACTTCTCAGAAAAAGCACCAGCAGCTCTTGTCTTGCCAACCATCTTTAAGAAAGGTGACCAGCCAGCTCCACTAAGGAAGGCGCTGCCAGCACTCTGAGCCTGCCCTTGCCTCCTACAATGCTAGGCAGCACATAGAATAAGCTCATTTCAGAGGTGAGGAAATCCAGGTGCTGTTAATCAGGATAGAGTGTGAGAGAGAGCAGCAGACACTTGCCTCCAGCCCAGGCTTGGCTGGCTCTGAGATGTGAGCTTCTACTCTCGCAGGGAAGCATTCAGCTGATGCCTGACAGACAACCCCTATTAATGTTGGCTACTGGGGACCCCACCCCACTTCTCACAAGCAATGTGAAGACAGAAGAGCCACTCTGTTCTCAAAATTCAGCTTCTTCGTCTTCCTGGAATCATTCCAAATGGCCCCACGGAGCGTAAGATTCAATGAGGTTATATTTATAAAGAACTTATCTCATTTCTAGACATGGTAATTGAAAAAAAAGGCCACAGATTCCTCCTGTCACTCACTGCAAGCCCACTTCCAATGTGACTTTATAGCCACAGTACAGGATGTCTCCCCAACTCCTGAATCTGGCCTGGGCCACTTGATCTGCTTTGGTCAATGAGATGATGTGATGTCACCCTGAAGAGTCATGCACATTGAGGCTTGCCTTCCCTCATTGCTATCGGGCACCCCGAAGCCACCACTGGGTGAAGAACTCTGAGCCAGCCTACAGGAAAAGGAGAGACATGGCCCATAGCCAGCCTACTCCCAGAAATGTAAGGTCTTTGGCTGCCAGCTGACCACAGATGCCTGAGTGAGCCCAGACAGCACTGTGTGAGGCAGAGGCAATCCATCCCAGATGGCTCAGCCCATATCATCAACCCACAGCACTGTGAGCAAATCAATGATTATCATTTTAAGCCACTGAGTTTCAGAGTAGTTTGTTCAGTAGCAACAGATAACTGATACACCAGCACTATATAAGTTGCTTAAAACATAGGCTGAGGCAGGAGAATGGCGTGAACCCAGGAGGCGGAGCTTGCAGTGAGCCGAGATTGCGCCACTGCACTCCAGCCTGGGCGACAGAGCGAGACTCCGTCTCAAAAACAAACAAACAAACAAACAAACAAAAAAAAAACATAGTATCTTTCTCTCCTCCTTGTTTCTTTCCAAAGTGCTGTAACGAATGCATGGGCAACACTGCTGATGCTGGAACTGAGCAGACCCAGACGTGCACTTGACCCTCTACTTTGGGAGGCTGAGGCAAGAGGATCATTGAGAAGTTTGAAACCAGCTTGGGTAACATGGCAAAACCCATGTCTCCACACAAAAAGAGAAAAAATACAAAAATTTTCTGGGCATGGTGCTGTGTCTGTAGTCCCAACTACTCGGGAGGCTGAGGTGAAAGGATCACTTGAGTCCAGGAAGTTGAGGCTGCAGTGAGCCACGACTGTGCCAGTGCACTGCAGCCTGGGCCACAGCGCAACACTCTGTCTCAAAAAACACATTTACCTACATAACAAAACTGCGCATCCTGTACATGTACCCCTGAACTTAAAAGTTGAGAGTTAAAAAAAAAATGTTAGCTGGAAGGTGTGGCAGCTTGCTCGGTGCCTGAGTGACAGTTCTTCCCAGCACAGGAGGTGGTCCACAGACCTCTCTTAACTCTGAAAGTTCTGTAACTTCCTCTGAGATAAGCATTGTTGAGGTTACCCCAATTTCCAAGAGACTTGGTAATTTCTACTGTGTCCCATTGCCTAATATGTGACAGCTCCTCGCTGACTTTCTTGAAAGTCTCTATTTCAATGCCATATCACAGCATACTAGATAATATTTCAAGCCACAATAAGGGAATCACAGGTAAGAGAAACTGCCCATCGTGTGCTGGGCCACTGAGGTTCCCACCAGGAGCCCTTTTGAGCTGCTACATCTCCCAGGAGTGGGTGACATCCGTCTCTTTACATACACGTCCCGGCCCTGTGAGTTTCTTTTGCAATGAAGTGCAAGGCCCATTTGAATTGCATAAACACTAAGGGGTGTGTGTGTGTGTGTGTGTGTGTGTGTGTGTTGGGGGGGATGTCAAGAAAAGACAACAGACAAGACACCTGGGGATCTTGCAGCTAAGTGAGCAGCATGGGACAAATAAAAATAATAGTATATTTTTAAATCCACTACATTGATTTCATGAATTTTCTTCCTTTTTCTCTCACACTACTGTCTTTCTTCAACAGACATCAATTTCTTGACACCACAATCCAATGTGGTTTGTTTTCAGTAACTATCAGCTGCTAGGTATTTGTTCAGCACTTGGGATGTACCCAGGCAAAGAGATGTGCAAGTATAAAACAAGGGAGCCCACCCTGCAACTGGGAAAGAGGAGTTACATGTTCATTCCAAAACAGAGAAACAATGTAAAAACAGGAAAAAATGGCCGGGCGCGGTGGCTCAAGCCTGTAATCCCAGCACTTTGGGAGGCCGAGACGGGCGGATCACGAGGTCAGGAGATCGAGACCATCCTGGCGAACACGGTGAAACCCCGTCTCTATTAAAAAAATACAAAAAACTAGCCAGACGAGGTGGCGGGCGCCTGTAGTCCAGCTACACAGGAGCTGAGGCAGAGAATGGTGTAAACCGGGAGGCGGAGCTTGCAGTGAGCTGAGATCCGCACTGCGCTCCAGCCCCAGCGACAGAGCGACAGAGCGAGACTCCGTCTCAAAAAAAAAAAAAAAAAAAAAAAAAAAAAACAGGAAAAAAAAAAAAAGAAAGAAAGAAAGAAAAAAAGTATCCATGCTCAACTCATCAGCTGGGAAAGCCTGTGTGTAAAGTTCTGAAACCTGAAAACTTTCAAAGAATCAAGGGTATAAAGGGTCCAGAAGAACTCAATACAGGACACAATTGCAAAAGTATTTTCTTCCTTTAATTTCTGCAACCCTCACTTTTGGAGGGAACACAGCCAGCGGTGACCTGGGGCCCCACGGGTTAGGCTGCACTCAACAAGGTGCCTGCTTGCTATATTAGGAAGAGTCCACTTTCAAATTCAAACTGCACCCAGGAGACAAAGGCAAGTCCTGGCTGCAGCCTAGGCAGGTGTTCTCTTGTCAAAACAAAACCTGCCTCAAAAGTCAATTCAGAGACTGGGCAAGTGAAAGAGCAGTGACTTAGAGGCAGGGAACCCAGCTTGAGGCTACTCCTGCACATTGGGTCACTACGGAATCGTAATTACCCTTTTAAAACTTCAATTCCTTCATCTGATAAATGGGATCAATGACGCTCCACCTCAAATGGGTCTAACAGTATCTGCTCAACCTAATGGCTTAGATGGGAAACTGCTTTATTCAGGAAAGGGCTCCGGAACAGTAAGCTGCTTTACTAAGGTGTGGTGGCATGTTCTTCCAAGTTGAGAAGTTCTGCTAGATGGGAGAAATGAACAGTGCCCGTTTCTGAGTGTTCCAGACTACAGCCTTGCAGCTCCGGAGACCTAAGGGAAGAAACATCAGGCATGTCTCGCGGGGCTGCAGACATGAAGATGGGGATGGAATTCAGGTGATGGTACTGGTTGCACTCACCTGCTCCTCCTTCAAATGCCTCCTTCTGGCACTCTGCATTTCAGCATTCTCTTTGGGCTGTGGAGGCTCCCCAGAAGCCACGTCCCCTGAAAGGAACATAGGAAGGACCTCTTGTTCCCGGCACCACCTTTAACTCCTGCCCCTGCCCACCTGGGGAAGACGCATCGCAATGGTGGGTTACCAGGCAGGAGGGAAGGCTCTAGGAGGGTTGGGAGCCGTGGAACCCTGGAGCTTAACCTTTTCTGACCACCAGAGAAGGAGACTGCGGTGGCAGGACTGAGGCCTCTGCCTAGTGTTGAAACGGGAGCGCACAGATGCTTTTCCAAATAACTTTTGACCCCCTTTCTGGTAAATCTTTTTTTCATACTTGATTCTCTATGAAATCTAGACTGCAAACACCACCTCCTCCCCTCCTAGAACGCAGACTGGCTTACCACCGCCCTAGTTTCCTTCCAATTCCAACTGGGGGGGGGGCCCGCCATGGGCCAACAGCAGGCTAGCTCAGGGCTGAGGGGGTCTCTGGAGTCTGAACTCCGCGCCCGCTTGCTCCTCCATGGCTTAGCTGGTCAGGACTTGAACATTCGCCGGACCCATAAATTGGGTCATTTTGAACCTCAAAACCGAACCGGAGCCTGGGGAGGCCTTTAGGACCGAGGGGAGCCATCCCTTCCTCTAGTCGGGCAGCAAATTCCTGTCCTCCTAGTCCCCCGCAGTTACCCGCCGCCCCCAGCCTCTGTGGCCCTCATTGTCAGACACCGGCCCCGGGCCACCCTCTGGACGGGATCCCCCGCTAGGGCCTCCCTGGTCTGGGGCAAAGTTGGTGGCCACCTTCGCGCGGGCTGCGCCTTCCTCCTCTTCCCTGCCCTCCTCCCCCGGAGCCCGCGCCTGCCTCCTCCAGCACGCGCGTTGCCAGGCTCCGAAAGCTAAGCTGAGCGGCTGGCCCCAGGGCGCCCCTAGCCCAGCCTGCCGGCCAGGCGCGTGCGACGATAGTCTCCCAGCACCCCTTCCTCTCCCGAGAGGACTGGGCTCCGCCCCGGCGCCGCAGCTCCCGACTCCCCGCCGCTCGGGCTGCAGTCGCTGCCCCGCGCCCGGCGCTCGGGGCAGCCGGGGGCGCTGGCGGCTAGCGCAGGGCGGGGAGCGGCGGGGGGAGCGGAGCGGCGCAGAAGGGAGGGCAGAGGAGGAGAGAGCCTGGGAGCGGAGGAGCAGAGGCGGGCGCCGCACCGCCCCGCATGCTCTCTCGCTGGATAGACTCGCGGGCGGCCGCTTGGGCGCACTTGCCGGGTCACCTTGTCCCGGAGGTAAGTCCCGACCTCCAGGCCGCGGGGGCGGGCGGAGGGGCCCGCAGTGGGCGGGGTCGCGGCGGGGGCAGCGAGCTGGCGGCGGGAGCGGGAGGCTGCCGGGCGCCGGCGGGTGTCCTAGTCCTGGCTCCGCCTCGGAGCGCGCAGACCCGGCGGCGGCGTGGCGCCCGCGGTAAGTCCGGGTGGTCGCCGGGACGAGACTTGGGAGACACGGGGTCGGCGGGCGGGAGGAAGAGCTGAGCCGGCGGAGAAGATGCTGAGGAAAGGGTCGGTGCTGGCCCGGGCTGCACCTTGGTGCCTTGCCACCCCGGGAGACGCGAAGGGGCTGCTGTGCGAAGTCGATGGGAGCTGCTGAGACCGAGAACTGGGAGCGTAGTGGAGCCAGGCTGCCCAGCAGGGCCATGGGGGCGCGCGGCGGGCCAAGGCTCTGCGGGTTCGCGCTACCCCTCGGAGTGACCCGAAGGAGACCAGCCGGGGCTGGTGAGCCGGGCGGCCGCGGAGCTGGGGACCTAGGTCTGTTTGGGAATAGGAAGGGAAACAGACTAATCCTCCGAGCGGAGCGGCAGGCAAGGTGCAAGCGCGCTTGGGATGGGGAATCCCGACGGGCGACCGGGGCGGAAGCAGGGACTCCGGGAGCCTCCTTCCTCTAGCCAGAGCAAGACCTGCCTTCGAAAGCTGTCTGGCCCCTGGCAGCCGCGACAGCCTGCAGCCCTGGGAGCCAAAGCCCCGGCGCCGAGATGGGAGCGAGCACATACGCTGTTTTGGTTCCAGTTTGAATCTCGCTTTTTCCTAGTCGTGATTTCTGCCTCTTCGTGTGCGCTCTCTGGGCAGTGGGGAGGAAGGAATGGCTCACTAGATGAGTTGGGCACTTTTCTTAGGGAAGGGGCTTTGGTCCCTTTGCGCTTTTTGCAAGACCCTAGTAGAGTGGCTCTGGCAGCCGAGCTTTGAGGAGGCGGCCAGAGGGGCCGTTTGGCATCTCTGAAAGACGAGAGGAAGGAGTTTTCTGGTAGTCTTGTTTTCCTTTGGGGGTTTCCTTGCACGCAGAGGTTTGGGCGCTTGGCACCCCGACTTCAGGTGCGCACAGTCCTCCTGCGACACCAGATGCGCTGGCGCCGCGGCGCTCCTGGCTCGGACCGATGCCTGCGACTTCCCTGGCCATGTCCTGGTGTTTAGTGCAGCAGACACCGGCCGAAGGCTTGGCTGATCGGGGGTGTAGTGGAGGGGAGGGCTGGGCATTACACAGTGGCTCCGTTTTCTGGTTGGAATCAGTTGGTGGGGCGTGCTCGCGCGCGTCTGTGTATCTGTCCGTTCCCCTCCTACAGCCCAGCGTGTTTGGTCTGAGTCCAAAGAAGGAGGTGGTGTGTGTGCTGCGTAGACCTGCGCCTGTGGGGTTAGCAGCCTCATAACAGCCCCTAGAGCCGGCCAACTTCTCAGTGCTAGGCTGCGACCTCAGGGGCCGCCGCATCGGGGATCGGAAGTGGTCTTCAAAGAGGGGTCTGGGTCTCGAAGTCCTGGCATCAGCCGAAGTGAAAAGGAGCTGCCAGGAGGCGGGCGGGCAATCTGATGTCCGTTCTGGCGCGGACAGGAAGAAACTGAAGTCGAATTTTTAGATGAATTGCGTGCTGTGTTTGGCGGTGGTGTGGCCCGTTCTTTCGGAGGTCCACACCACAGGTGTGAGGCCTGTGGGCCCTGAGGAAGCGCCCTCCCCTTGTTTTCTCCCTCCCCTCTCTCTCCATCTCTCCACCGCCAGCCCCTTTCTTTGCGAGGAGCAAGCCTGACTTAGTAGCTGATCGGCACCCTCTCTCACCCTGCCCCCGTATCCTGCATGAAAACGGAATCCTCATAATCAAGAGGGCCTTGTTAAAAAAAAGATGGAGAAATCTATTTTTAAACTTTTATATTATGGAAAATTTCAGTGGTACACAGTGGCAGACAGAGAATAGTGCCCTGAAGCTTTGTGTACCCCCCACCCAGTCACCACCTGCAGTTACCTTTTGTGGAGTTTTGGAGGCCTTATTTGATGAAGTATTTCAAAACTCATTCCAAAATGCTAAGTATTGGATAGTATGTTAATTAGCTCCATTCAGCCATGACACATTGTATACACATATCACAGCATCGCTTTGTACCCCATAAACATATACAATTATAATTTGTTAATGTCTGATAAAATAAACTAATTCATTAAAAATACAAAATTACTTTGATATAAACTTCAAAAAAAAAAAAAAATTCCAAACTCACCTCACCTCTAAACACATCCCTCTGTATCTCCAGCTGATGACATTTCATTTTATGTTACCTATCAGAAATGTCAGTTTTTAATAACCCCATTAGAGTATAGGTGATATTAAAATAAAAATGAAGGCCCCCTCCATTCCCATTTTAGAGTAGAAAAGGAAAACCTGCTAACTCTCCTTAAGGCATACAGGGGCGAGATATTGAAGGAAAGACAAGTCCAGATCTCTGGAAGAGAGACATGTTAGCAATAGGACCAGACTTATCCTAATTCATGCAGGGTGTAAACATGATTCTGGTTGAGTCATGATAGGCAAGATAATTTTTTTTTTGATAAAAACTTTAAAACTCAGTTCAAAAATTATAAGCAATTAATTTCTTCCACATTTAACATTGAGATAAAGGTGCTCTACCAGACTTATTTTTCTCATTAATTTTAAATCATATTTTCTAGGGAGTTATTACTATGATCAGAGAATAGAAAGTTATTTTCTTATGTAAGATTTCTATCTGAGGCACTAGTCAGTGCTATGCTGAGGTTCACGGAGCGTACTGAACATTTCATTGTTTAATTAGAAAATGTTTGGTCGTCCTCCAGGTCACACCTGCTCTGCCCTCTGAAGAGGCTCTGCGCTTGCTGAGATGTGATGTCCAGTGTGACTTTTACTGGCTGGAGAGGTGTGGCACACAGGGAGGCACTGGAGGCAGTGGGAGGGGATGCCCTCCCTCCACCAGCCCCCTCCCATCCTGCACACCTCTGTGCTTTCCTTTATATAAAAGCAGTTCCTAAAAATTGTCAATGACGTTCTGAGAGGAGTCAGTCAGACTTTTGAGTACCTTTATAAAGTGCACTATTTAAAGGCGTCCTTAGTTAACCTCTTGTAAGATGAATAACCATCTTGTAGGTGAGCAGTTTTATGTCCTGTCACCCCATCCCCTAATAAAACCTTGTCTTTTCATGACTCCAGCTTGGCCTGTGCCCCTCACATTGGCCTTTCAGATCCTCATGCACATTGGAAAATGCAGGTTCCATCTCAGAGTGAACGCACTGCTGTGGCCTGTAGTTTGAACAGATGTCACATTATCAGCAAAATTCTTTGAATGAGTGGGTAAAGTGGCAAGGACTGAAGTATGGGGTTTTAATTTGACAACACCAGCAAAACACGGGGGTAAGCGACTGGCACAACAGCCTGTTGTATCAGTGGAAAGTTGCATAAGGTCATTTTGGGGCAGTGCATTGACAGAAGTTTTTGGAGCCATAGCTCTTGACTCAGCATCACTACACTAGAGGCATGGTGTCAAAATCTCTACAAAGCAGTACTGAAAACATTAGAGATAGGCTGACCAGGTCTCTAACCACGTCACTGGAATTAGAATAATGAAGTTGGCAGTGGGAGGTTTGAAAAATGTGGTTTCTCAGCATTCTCTATGCAAGATGCCCATTTTGAATGATTCCTAAGAGATCCTAAACTTGTGTTCAGAGAGCAGCTGAAATAACCCGGGCACCAGCTATGATTCAGTGCCCTCGTGACTGCTTTGCTTACATCCAGGCAGCATATCGGATTGTGCGGAGAGTGGAGGAGGGATGCGCTGGGGAGACAGGTGTGCAGAGTGTCTCCTGTCCCCAGGCTGCTCCCTCTTTCCCCTTGGGCCTTCCCTGAGTGCCATGAGCAGACATAGGTTCCAGAATCTGGAAGGTCCCATTTGTTTTCTCAGAATGCCATGTGAATACAAACTTTACCCAGAGAAACTTTGAGACAATGAAATGTCCTCAATCCAGTGTCTTTTTCATTTAACAAACTGTGACAACATTAACGCTTGGTTTTCAAAATCCTGGAAAGAATATGGTTAAAAAGAAACGATCTCAGAAAAGTGACATGGTTTGTCTAAGATCATTCAGCTAGCAAGCAGCAGAGCCCAGAGTCTGGAGCCTACAACCTGTCGTTGGCAAGGGTGAGGATTGGGACAGTGCGTTTGCACTCACTTGGGGTGGACGGACACATGCACAGGAATGTGCCCAGGGTGCATACATAGCCATGTGGGCTAAAGATTTATGAGAATGTATAGGAAAGGCATGTGAGCAATAGCTTATGAAATTTAGCTTTAACATAACTAAATTTAGATTCATATTACCTTATAAACTTACGTGATGCATTCTCTAAGATGGAAACATTTTTAAAACAGATTACCAACAAACCACCACCCTCCATTTGTAGTATGTGATGATTCAAGATGCAAGCATGATTCAGATAACAAAATGTAAATCTTCTTAAACTATTGTATGATAAATGACCTGTTAAATTACCAAAAACAAAGAAAAATGGAAATTCTAAAGAACAACAACAGATAAGCTTCGGGATCAAAAATAACTGTTAGAACCAAAAATAACAGAACCAGGAAACATTATACACAGGTAGAAAATAATAAAAATAAAAGCTGCTTCCAAAGGCACAACCCAGGGGATAACTTCGCCTGTTTAGTTACATAAAAATAATTTAAGAGTTCAATTAGCATTATTGCAGAGGCATGGGCCTTCTGCTCTGGAAGTTGCAATCAGTGTTCAGTGTGAAAACACTTTTTGCTTGGTTTTTAGTTCTTAACTGAATTTTGTGTCAATAAAATTCATTTTTAAATACTGGTGTGGCATTTAGAGAATGAGTCTGAAGGAGAGAGTACTTGTGTGGATTTTAAACTGGGTGTTTCAAAAAGGGCTCACTTAGGGCAAATTTCTATTTTGAACAATTCTTAGGTCTCCAACAAGTTCAGCTGTTATCTATCACTTGACCTCACTGGGCAGGCACTTTCAGATGTTACCTCCATCTGTTACTTCCTTAGGTTTCCTCTCTTTCAGAAAACTCCAGTGCCCAAAACAAAACCAGAAAGCAAACACATTTCAGATCATTCTAACTACAAAAGTTTTATTCCATTGCCTCAACTTTAAACTACAGATCTTTCTGAAAGGGAGATACAGTAATCTTACCTCAAATACATTTGGAACCACCCCCCACGCCCCTGCTTGGAAAAGCAAATAAATGAAGTGTTATAGAAACTCACTTTTCTGTCATGCATACAATAGTCAGTTTTTAACTTCCTCCTATAGGAGGAAGTTGGTCTTCACATGTTGGTGGTACAGACCCTCAGCTGGCGTGGGTCTGAGAGACAGGAGTTTATCCCTGAAGATCCTAATGGGGTTAAGTCCTGGGACAGTTTCCCAGTGGAAACCCAGTAGCCATGCTGTGGGGTGGCCTGAGGCATTAGCTTTAGGGTAGACCCCGGGGAAGCCCAATTCATCCTACAAAAGATTGGTACCAATTCCACTGTTAATTATTTGCGGTTTCTAAAAGTGCATTTAATAAAGCCTATGTGTTTCTGTAGCCAACCTTCATGTCTGACATCTCAGCCTCAGCCCATCACCCATGTGTCTCCTTTATAAGAAACCTTGTTGTTCCGTTGAGTGCCCCATGGGGTAATGGCACAGCACGCGTAGGGCAGTCGAAAGAGTCGAGATGTGATAGGTGGTGTGCGTGGTTTCTGAGATGCTGTCTAAGCGCAGGGACTGGCCTGGGCTGGTAGGCATAGATGATTGACTGTCACAGATTGACTGTAAGAGGCACTCATCTGCTGCAGATCTCCCGTGGAAACCCTGTATTTATGAGGACCTTGGAGAGGACCCTGCACCGGGCAATCCCACCAATCCTAACCCAGTCTTGGAATGCTTTCAGATACCTCTTGCCTCTTTTGGCTTTACTTTTCTCTCCCAATTCCTCACCGTTTCCATAGTGCCTTTGTGACAAGTGGCTCCACAACAAAGAACTATGAGTTGATTAATGTGCATAGTGTCTTTTTTTTTTTTTTTTTTTTTTTAATGGCGTCTCACTCTGTCACCCAGGCTGGAGTGCAGTGGCACGATCTCAGCTTACTGCAACCTCCACCTCCTGGGTTCAAGCAATTCTTCTGCCTCAACCTCCCAAGTATTTGGGACTACAGGTGCACTCCACCATACCTGGCTAATTTTTCTATTTTTCGTAGAGACAGGGTTTTCACCATGTTGGCCACGCTAGTCTCGAACTCCTGACCTCAAGTGATCTGCCCTCTTAGCTTCCCAAAGAGCTGGAATTACAGGCATGAACCACTGTGCCCAGCTTAATGTGCATAGTATCTTAACAGGTTTTTTCTTATATACTAAACCTAGAGATACAGCTCATTCATTTCAGTACTCTAATAATAGTTTAGTGTTCTAAATTCCCTCACAAAAACAGGTTTTTGTTGAAAGCTAACTTTGAGTCAAGGGAAATAATCTTCTTTGTTATTTCTAAGTTTATTCTCTGCCCTTCATTCTTATCCTGACCTTTAAAAGCTGTGGATATTGGCCGGGTGCGGTGTCTCACGCCTGTAATCCCAGCACTTTGGGAGGCTAAGGCGGGCAG